CAAGGTTTGGCACTGATTCGCCACGGTCGAGCCACTCGCTTGTTTTGGCACTGAATCATCTGCGCAAACTGGCCAGAACGCATTTTTGTTTTCTTTCCTTCTTTCTTTCTTTCTCTCTCTCTCTCTCTCATTTTCCCTGCTCCGCTTTTGTGCCGAAAATTCGGTGATCGGAAGTTGGGGTATTTTGCGGAATGACCTCTTACCCACACCTTGCTTCCGGTTAGTTCCATTCTCCAATAGCACGCACAAAAAGAACAAAAAAATAACTATTCCTTTTTGACATCTAACTTATTACTGTACTTGTGATTCCGAAAAAATGCTATAAAGGCTCGCAGTAATTATCCTGATGAAACTTGAAGGAAACGATTGGCACCTTCTTTAGCTAACGATATATTTTTTTGCTTGTGATGTGCACCTCAGTAAAAACGCATTGTTTGATGAACTCGGGTACAAAACTAGAGTACTTTCTTAATTTTTTTTGCGCATATACTGGTAGGATTTTTTAAATGTCACGCATTTCATGATCACTCCCCCTTGAATGAAAACTCTTCCCATGCCTTGGTCCATTCTGGGAAACTCACTTTTGATGCATAACAAATGCATGAAGCATGTTTAGAATAACTCAAGCTATGAGGTCATATGGATGAATTTCTATTCATCATACTTACAATCAACTAACAGTGAGACATAATTATTTTTCTCATAAACAAAAACAAAAAAGGATAGCCAGGTACACCTTTCATAAACTTCCAAAAATTTAGGCTTCAGCCACTTGTCTTTGAAAGTGATTCTATGCACTTGGAATTGGTGATCATGTTTGCGGTATTCATAATGAGGTTATATAAGTCAGAATGTTTGTTCTCAGTTTTTCGACGCGTATTTACCCGTATAGTACTCAGATTTCTTCCGGAATGTGTCAATTTTTCGATGCCCTGTTAAATATCTTATGAATCGCAAAATGTCTTCACCTTTTCGTAGAGATCCGGAAAATTTGAGTGCTGATTCAACCTCATTTTAAGTCATCTATAGTATAGATGACTTAAAATGAGGTTCCTTTTCTGGCATACGGTTTTACTTATCTTTTCAGGTACGTTTTTCAAAGTTTTGATCTTAGTATAGAGTAGCCACCCCGGATCCAGTTTTTCATTATTCTTTGGCGATTCTGTATTATTTTCACTAGGACATACGTATTTCAGGATACATTTTATACGTATTTAAAGATTGGGACACACCAAAATAAACAGTTAAGACAAACTTGAGACCCCATCTCAGCCACAACAAATGCCTATGGTGAATTCGATCGATTTCCGGCTTTCTTGTCTGTAAAGTCTTTAGGATCCCTCCCAAATCCGTGAAAAAATTCAACATTTTTGGGAGATTTCTGTAGTCAGATCATATATTGCATTTCAACCCCCCAAAATATCCATGAGCAATCATTGAGTGATGATGACTAAACTTCCTGTTGAAAGTGTTTTAATCTCTACAAAGTTTTAGATAAAGAAAAATGTTGGAATTGAATTGAATTGTAGAGCAAGCTTTTTTTTCTGCTTTTGAGCATTTGCAATGTTCAAGCAATATTCCTGCATCAAAGCCCCCCCCCCTCCCTCTACACCCACATTCATCCAAACACATATTCCATGGCACCAGAATGGAAAACAAAGAAAGAAGCTGCACATGGATAGTGAAAGGAAAGAAAATACATCCCAAAATGCGAAATGGCATAACTGTTGAGAAATGCACTGTTTTCCAATCCCTGAACAAAAAAATATAAGCAATAAAAATTGCAGCATAAGGCAATTACTGAACCCAAATTAGAGCAAATGTTGTTCAGCCTGCTGCTCCCAGAAATGGTTTAGTTTATTGAACAATTTGGAGAGAATCTTTGGAAAAAAAATCAAATAAAGTTTACAGTTTCTATTGGTCCTCTAAGCTTTTGGAAAGAGCCTTTTCAATGAGTTTTAAGAGACTCAAGTGTTTTTTAAGTTCATTTCTGTAGCTGTGGAATGCTGGGAATAAGAAAATGTGATTTTTCTTAAATTTGAGTAAATTTGAAGTTAGCACATGCCTCAATTGCAAGCAGAAGCACTTTTAGTTTTCCCTAAGATGAAAAAGCAATCAATCTCTTTCTGCCTTCATTAAATTTAATATCACTGTCAGCCTCCTAAAATGTTCTTTATTGAGCGCATTGTCAAGCCCCAACCTTTGAATAATGAATACACGGAATTCCAAGTACTCATCATTCAAGAAGCACTGCAAAACATTGCAAATAGCCGCCACTCTCGTAAATTTCCAAGGCATTTCCTGATATACAGTAGTTTGTCAATCTTTTTTTGTTAAAAATGATTCAAGAAGTATTCAAAGAATGGAAAACTGCAGTGTATAATAATAAAGTGAAAACCCAACTCTACGTTCTTCTTTCATTGAATCTTAGCAGAAATCCGTTGAGTTTCTTCTGTGCCTTTTTTTTGGCTCTGACAGTAGTCCAACAATTGTCTGTGCTGAACAGTTTTAATTTTTATAATCTTGAAATCAGATACTGTGCATGCTTATTTTACTTGAAAATATTTCAAATACTATGTGAAAATATTCTTATGCCGGTGGACTTCCTGCACAACAATCTTGCCGAAAAAATTTCCTTGGTATAATGAATTTGTTGGGGTTTCAAAAGGTTGTCTCCTCATGCTTAAGGGGCTTTCTACAATGAAATTCTCCATATAATCAATTTTATCCAGATTCTTCAAATTTTGTTGTAAAGAGAGATTTACTGTCAGTTTTCAATTGTTTCAGTTCGCGTTATAATCAATACCTTAGAAATGCAACAGGTGTTTGCCCAAACATTTAACAGTAATGCATGATGTACAATTTTCATTGTTGAATTCCCATCCTAATTATTCTGGAATGATGTATCACAATTTCATCCACTGTTTTCAGCATTTTTCTGGCCCCAGAGATTTTATCAAATAGAAGTGATGTCAGAAAAAACTCCACGGAATCATCTCTTGAAATTTAATTTTTAAGTTAATTTTCAACTTCTTTGTGTTTTTGTGACAATGTCAAAGCAATCCACATCCATGCTGAATTATTTTTTATTTTAGCTGCCAATTTGCAAATACACCTAAATATAGTACAGCATTGTTTTTTCCCCAGCTGTGCACAGCACGAAGAATGAAGAAATGAGATTTCTTCAGCAAACCAACACTAAAAATATTGAATTCCGGGTAAGATGTGCGTGGGATTGTTTACTGTTCCTTTTGGAATTAAGAAGCGCATTTTGTTTAAATTCCCTGCATTGCTGTTGACAAGGAAGAATAAACGAGTTTTCAAAAATTCTCACACGTTGGTATACATGGACATTTTTCAGGCTTTGGTGAAATTGGACCAGATTTAACGTGACCAGCGATGGATTTTGCGTCCACATATACAGTGCATTTTAACTCGAATTCTAACATGTCTCCCATTCATCATTTTGGCAGATCGCAATTTTTTTTTGCATGTTGAGCTATATATTTATAAGTTAAGCTTTAAGGCAACTCTCCTCTTCCTACAATTGGTATAAATACATGGAGTAGAAAAACTTGAAATTCTTACCAGAGGAATCAAAGGCAAAGACATTACTGAATTTTTCAATTTCCTTTCATTGCAGAGTAACTTGGGTTGATTCATTATAATTACAGGATAGCCAATTTTTGACATACCAGCAGGGATCAGTAGCAAATCAAGCTACAGAAAAAAACCTAGGCTCATGATTGCCTTTTCAGTTTTCTTAAAAATCATATGTATAATTATTTGGTCCCAACCCAAGTGCAATGCCATGGTCACAACACCAGCTTGAGGGAAGGATGAGTCATCTGAAAACTTTTTTCAGTGTAAAGTTTGCATTCAAATGGCTGTTGTGACCATGTCATGGCATTTGGGAGTTGGGACCATACAATTACATTGGAGAGGAAACTGACCCAGCTTGAATTTTATTCTTGCTGTAATTTGATTTCCTATTGATCTATTGTAAATCAAAAATTGTTTTGCTTTTGTCTGTCCCACTGTATTTCAACCATGCATGGAAAGGTTTAGGTTTTTTCACAAATTGTAAAGAATGTCTTTTAAAATATGGTAAATTCATAGCAAATTCACTTTTTTGAACTGGTAATGCGATAACATGTCTAATATTGCACCCTGACCGAAACATAAGCTTTTTTTTTTTTGTCGCTCTGCGGCATTTCAGACTTGGAAAAATATTCCTCAGAATGAACAAATTTTTACACCAAGAACAAAAAGTATTTTAAGAAAAGGAACCTGGAATACTGAATACATTTTGTGAGCGATCATTTGTGATTACAAGATTGCATATACTGTATTGTGGTATTTCTGTACTTCTGGAATTAAAAGTGAATCACTATGCCAAACTTCAAGCTGCCATATCTTCTTCATGCTTCAGCCTGTATTGCTAAAAGTAATGCCAAATGGAGATAGATTAAATGTCGGCTCAGAAGATAACCAGTTTGTATGTTTGAGGTAATCCAAATGATCAGCATTGTTTATTGAAAAGTACAAAGAGAAATGCTTGAAAATGCTTCCTAAAGATGTCTTCACTGGAATTGACCTGGTTGGACAAAGGTTAACGCAGAAAGCAATAACACTTGAATCTTGGAAATTTCCTAATGGTCAGCCATGCAGAACTTCACTAATGTTGAGAAAACAAAATTTTTCAGAGCAGCCAAATGAGTTTCCCAACTTCGCAAAGATAACCAAAATGTATTGAAAAAAAATCGCATGGAAGTACTTGCATGTGGATGCAAAATTCACCCACGTTGCTTCCTCAACCTTTAGGAAGTGCTTTGGTGAATCCAGAAGATGGAAGCAGAAGAAAAAAATTGCATGAACACTTGCTGTTCTTTGAATATCTAAATGAGAATAGTGCTTTGCATTGAAAACAAAATAAATTTAATTGCATAAATACCGTTGCTTGATATCTGTCAGAAATACAGTGGGTCCCCTATGTGAGGATGTTGTTGGTGCTTGTACCTTTTGCTCATGTGTTGGAATATGCGAATATCTGTGTGTTGGATCCTGTTTTGTGGTAAATAGATGTATATTTCCTTGATATTCCCCTGTTTAGACATATAAGGAATATAGTCCTCATCAAAGATTGAATAACAAATTTTCTGTACTTCAAGAAACAAAGAATTTATATGTACAGCAAAAAAACCACTAGAATCTGATGTTTTATTTACATTAGAAGGAGCTCAAGAAGCCAAGAACAAGAATAATTCTTGCCATACTGTACACAGACAATGAGAAAAGGTTGAAAAAATGAGCAATAACAGATCAATAAATTTTTATTATGAATTAAACTGATTTATAATGACATTTATTTTCAATACTTTTCAATTTAAATAGGTTAATTTTTTCAAAGAAGGTAAAACTTTGGAATGTTTCCATCCCTCTCAAAATGAATGAAAAGTGTCCATGTATTAAGTTACCATTCAGATGTTGTCAGGAAAAGGTAAGAGGGGAAGCAGTCAAACTTTCTGGAAGTCCTTGCATCCCCATTCTTGCAAAAATTACTCACCCAAATAGGGAGCTTTTTTGCTGCTATTTGCAGAAACTCAAGTCAAGCCAAAAAACCATGGCTGAACCAAATTACAAAAATTGCTCCCTTCTTGGGAAAACAACAAAATTCATGAATATCCTGACAACAATTTCCAAATTTTCTCCCTGTCACAAAGTAAAAAAATGACAACCTTCTTTCAAAGCATCAAAACAAATGGCACAGAAACTTCTTTATCTCGCCAAAATGAATACCTGACCTTGTTGCTAGTCAAGCTTGACTGTTGCCAAGCTCGAACATTGATATAAACAAAACCTGTTGATCAGATGCACACTTGTCTTTGATTACCACTGTATCAGTATTTCTGCCCAACCAGGAAAATTGGACTGTTGAAGGGTCTTCTTCAAAGACCATGACCCCCACCCCTTTCATGTTTTAGAAAAGTACTTACTGGAAGCTTTAAAAGGACCAGCATCAGAATGGAAAAAGACAGTCCTACTTTGCTGTCTTCTTGACATGCTGAAACCTTGAGAAACCTTTGCTAGAATTGAAGAAAGAAGTCTTGTGAATACTTGAAAGCGTGGAAAGTTGTAAAAGGGTGAAAGAATAAAATCTCGTTTTGGGTGTAACAACCCTGGTAATACCCAGCTGCTGATCGTGTTTAAATATCTTGTGAAATCTTTTGCAACAACCTCTTTTCATCACAGATGTCAGGTGCATTCTTTTTCAGTTCTAAGCAACCCTAAGTTGAATTGTCCATATATCAGGGTGTCCACCTATTGGGTTCCCAATGTATTCAATCGGTTTTTCTTTTGATCATAAATTTTGAATGATGTCACACAAAAATGGATTAAAAAGGATTTTTCAACTTCAGGTTTCATAAAATATTGGCAGATGAAAACTGCATAAATCCTGATCTTTTGCCATGAAAATGAGCGCAAAAAGCAAAGAATAAGCAAAAATCTTCCTATAATGCATGGTAAAAATGGAATAAAATGACTCCAGACCCAGTGAGCAAGAAGTTATCCAAAAGATGTCCAAAACTCATCCAAATGAGTTTTACGGACATCTTTTGGAGAAAAAATTGTGCTCTGGCGGATAAGTTCTCCAAACTTGTCCAAGTTGGAGAACAAATTTACAAGTTGGAGAACTTGGAGGGGAAAATGACAAGTAAACTTGTCCTTTTCCCTCCAAAAATCATTCAAAACTTGTCCTTTTCCCCTCCAAAAATCATCCAAAACTTGTCCTTTTCCCCTCCAAATTCTATCCAAAACTTGTCCTTTTCCCCTCCAAAAATCATCCAAAACTTGTCTTTTTCCCCTCCAAAAATCATCCAAAACTTGTCCTTTTCCTCTCCAAAAATCATCCAAAACTTGTCCATTTTTTATCCAAAATTTGCCCCTCTCTCCCTCCAAAAGGTGTCTGTTTTAGGTCTGATTTTCATCCAGAGCAACTTGTCCGCAACTTGTCCTTTTTTGGCACGATTTGCAGACAAGTTGCTTTTGGATAAAAATCGGACCCAAAACAGACATTTTTGTGCTCACTGGCAAAAATGAATATAAAAATTAGCCTGTTCTATATTAGGAATTTAGGCGAATTTATAATAAGAATTATCATCAGGATTTGTGAATAGAATAAGCTTAATTGTTTCAAGAGATATCAAATTTAAAAAAAAATTTTCCATTTTTCTCAAAATGCTGAAAAGGCATCTGTACCTTGAATGATTGTCAGAAACTTTAAGGCACATTTTTATTTGATTCAATTGTCCATAAGTTGAATCATCCAATGGGGTCTCACAGTACAGGTGGTGCCCTCTGAAATTTGGCCATAATTAATTGCTGGACTAGGGTCAAACTGCAAAGGGGTCAAATTGCAAAGCAACATCAAATGCAATCTTTTCTTCATTGTATTTGACATTTAGGCCCCACAAAGTGACCCCCAAAGAAGGGACAATTTGTGGGGCTTAGTCAAATTGCAAGGAACCCACTGTATTTCAAAAGATAGATCTTTTGAAATGTGTATAGGTAACCCTTTTGGAACCATGATGGAAACGAGTCATCCCAAGTGGTGTCACTCAGTCAAAAACACTCCGCTCATCTTCAAAAAAAAAAAACTTTCCCCCATTATCAAGGTTTTTCAAAGTTCGCAAATTGCTTGTTTGCACAAGGACTCCCTGCGGCGTTTTCATGATCCAGGTAAGGGTCAACGTACTCTCAGTAGGCAATCAGTGCAGTAGAAGTTGCGTGATGAGTTCCATCTCCTGTGAAAAGATGAAGCAAGTGCAAGAAACGCCCATGGATACTCTTTTTTTCTTTCTTCCAGGTGCTTCTCACGGTTCTCCGACGTGCATTAAATCAAAATTTTATCTCAGGCTTCAGTGAATCATCAAGAATATAGAGAGCTATTGGCTCAATAACTCTATTCCGGACGATGGAAGGGAGTCTTTCATAAATTCCAGTATTTTCGAAGATGTGTTGGTTCATCTGGAATTCAGTCACGTTTTTCTCAGACATTCGGAAAGACCGAGTCATTTTGAAGACATCCCATCAAGGGTCACAATTACAAGTATTTCAAATAAATTGAAACTGAAATATGTCAAAGCCCAATTGTTTAAAGAGTGGCGCATCGATACACAAAATACCTGAAGGTAATCAAGGATAGACTTTAACTAAATGAAGACATATTCGAACTACTGTGCTTTTTCCGAGATAAATCAAGTTCGTTCATTTCTTACAATTTTTTCCGATTCCAAATTTGACCGAAATTTAATGACATTACAACAAGGCTTAACAAAAGAAACTTTAAACTGATTTTTTCATGTTTTAAAACATACAATAAACACCACAAGTCGTTTTCAAAAGCTAAGCAATAAATCGAAGACTCATTGAAAATAGGCTTTTGACGTACTGTAGTATGGAAAGGTTATTGTTCTCTTAAGAATCATAATTGCAATTATTCTTGAAAAATGCGGCGTTTGAAGGCAATTTCTTGGCATTTCAACAAGGCCTAACGAAATCCAATGTAACCCTTGTCCATCTTCCCAAAGATAAAATTTTCTCCGAGCCGTTTCCAAAAGCGACACAACAAATGGAAGACACATGGAAAATATTGTTGTCACAATGAGAGGAACTTTGTTTTTTGATGAATTGTGCGTAAAATGGTTTTTGAAAAATTCGGACTTTATTAGCAATTTGATGATATTTCAATGAAGCTACAATAAAAAAATGTTAGCCTTTGTTCGTATCTTCGAAACAATATAATGGTTTACAGCCTGTATAAAAACCAATCCAGTATGCAAACAATCGGAAATACTGTACATGTACGAGGGTTCTAACAAAAGATCTTGAAATAGAAATGAAAATGGCGTATAACCGAGCGCTGAAGACAAATTATTTTTTAGGGAAAACATACTCTTTGGCACACAAAAAAAATCAGTCCTGTTTGAAAAATGTTTTTGAATGCTTTGCAAAATTCACCTTGGCAGAGTTTTGCTCTCCACTCAAAAGATCCAATCAAAAGAAGGCCTTCCTGAATTCCTGAATTTTTTTTTTTTTAGTTCAGCTACCCCTTCAGAATTCTCAAAATCAACAAGGCAGTTCCATGGGAAAATTCAAAGTTAATTACACCATTTTCATCAACATAGCTGGAGGCAACCGTTGGAATTAATGCCACCTTGATTTAAAGAATTCTGAGGGGGAAGCTGGGCTACAACAACAAAAAACTACAGGAAGGGGGTCTCATCTTTTGAGTGGAGAACAAAACTCTGCCAGGGTGAATTTTGCGAGACATTCAAAAACATTTTTCAAACAGGACTGATTGTGTTTGCGCTGAAGAATATTTTTTCCCTAAAGAATAATTTTTCTTCAGTTCGACTATATGCCATTTTCATTTCTATTCCAAGAACTTTTGTTAGAAACCTCGTATTTACTTATTCAGTCCAGAATAAAACTCCAATATTCCAGCAAGGAACTGGTACAACCAGTTCCTTGCTTGGCGATGTCTGTCAATTTTTTTTTATGCGAAGTTTGACAGTAATTTGATGATATTTGAACACGGATGAACAAAATAAATTTTAAACACAGTTCCTCAACTCAAACCGTCGTCAATGCCGAAACTGAGTTATCTGGAATTCAACAACTCAAATTTAGATGCACAATTTGAATTGAAAGCGTTATTACGAACGAAAAGGAGCACACAGAATTAACAAGAAATTTATTGAAGGAAATCGTGGAAGTTTTACCCTTGCTTGTTCCCAGCCAAAATATGTCTGAATTTTGCCGAGGATGTCGTAAAGGTCCACTAGATGTCGCTCAAGGAATGGGTCAGCCAATTGAGCATTTACAAGCCCGTTTTATTTCCCTGAAAACCCTATTCTTTGTCAGTAAGGTCGCGCGGACCCTTGACAATGGAATTAAAAATAAAAATTTGCGAATGCTCCTCACCAATTTTAAACTGTGGCCTATTTTTTAAAACAAAAGCGCTGTTCCAGTAAATTAAGTGAGTTTTCCCGTTGAATAACTGACCCGTTGAAAAGGGAATGAATAACTATAACCCATTCATTCGTCTGATCAATAATGCCGCTTCATCATTGATGTCCGACGACCCTGTTTTTTATTTACAAATAGGCCAGTGCTGGCTGAAAAATCTACCGCTTTTCCCTGCTGCTTGTCTTTATATACGGAAAGAGTCGGTTTCCGAAGAAAAACAAATCGAACGACTCGGAAAACTTGTCCCTTTTTTTTTTTTTAAGAAAAAATTTTTTTTTGAAGGTGGTCCTCGCTTGGAAAAGGGTTTTGCATAATGAGTTCAGGTGGGGATAATTTACGAGGCGTATCTGGAATGAATCCCAGCGGGACGCAGACTCCGGCTTCCGGCTGCATCCGATCGAATTGCAATTTTCTTGCGCGATTCCGCGTGTATAAATATACATATATAAGTATTTTGTTCTTCCTTTTGGTTTTCGGGTCGCTCATTCAATCCATCTTTTTCTCCGTTCGATTTCAATCAGGGAAATGTAAAGACAGCGCTCAGCGTTCTCCGCATTGAAAGCATCAGTTCTCATACCAAGGCTGCAAACTGTCAGCGAGTCATCATTCCGCGGAGGAGATCTCTCAAGCAGGAAGAAAAGGATAAATCCTCGATTCGAAAGCAGCTATAGTACTGAAAAGCCAAATATATATGTTATGCAGTTGAATTCCAACGCACAATAACGAGTCTCACGATGACAACATTTTCGTTTATTGAACGATTATTTTCCTTGGTCTTTCAACAATTTATCCTCATATAGATCGACTCAAGGCTTAAAATATTTCATTTGAGGGGGTAATCTCGATTTTTTTGAACACTTCACTTGGTTACTGGAAGATTTGAGTTGACAAAGTTGGAATGCTGCACCAGTTAAATTTTCCACTTTTTTCTGCAATTCATCAAATAAACCCATTGGGTTATATACAAACATCTAGGACCAACATGTTGTATATAACCCATTGGGTTATTTGATGAGTTGCAGAAAAAAGCTGAAAATTCAACTGGTACAACATGTTGGTCATGGATATTTGCATATACAAAATCCATTGGGTTTATTTGATGAATTGCCGAAAAAAGTGGAGAATTTAGCTGGTGCAGCATTCCAACTTTGTCAACTCAACACTTTCAGTTACCAAGTGAAGTGTTGAAAAAAATATGCAACATGATATACTTCTTAGAAATTTTAACTCCATTTTAGGAGGTATGCATCTCTTAAAATCAACATTATGTTGGAAAGAACGTTTCTCTATCTGCTATGCAAGTCTGTTTCAATCTATATTGTTAATTGAGACAGACAAGAGCATAACTTGTTTGTATGGCAGGTTCAATAAAGGGAAAACACTCCACTAAATACTCCGAAATGTTTCTCCTCATTTTATCAAATATACTTACGAATCAAGATGTGTCTTAAATTACCCATTTCAGAAGCTCTTACAGTATTTCCCACAAAATTCAAGTATAAAAGTTTTTCAACCACGAATCTCGATGCAATTTCCGTTTTAATTTGAAGAGTGGAAAAGTCATGTCATTTGGATGATTTCATTTCGGAATACAGTACTTCAAGCTGAAATAAGCTGTCCCATCCTCTGGCCCATTTCTTGAGAATTTTTAGATACTGTACAGACAATTTTCCAACAACTCTGGAGAAATTTGGAATTTTACTTTTCTGAATCTTCATCTTTTAGAAATTTCCGGCACGATATTTTATTCAAAAAATATCATTATGAAATTACTGTAATGGTTAATAAGAAAACAAGCAAATTTGTTGCTTCTGTTTTCAGAGAACTGTATTGTTTCTCATATGTGCACTGTATATTTAGACTTGTTCCTGTTTCTTGCTTCTTGAGCTCCTTTTATGCCAAATGATCAGATTTTGCGTGGCTTTCTTCTGTCGCTTATTTTCTGAAGCTCAAGACTGAGAAAATTTGATTCCATTTTGTGGACTCTATTACTAATATTTGGAAAACGCAAGAAGCGATCAAATGTGTTCCCATTGAAAGCCAAGGGGGAAATGTGATCCAACATATGAATATAAGGACAAGGGCAAAGCATCAAATATGTCTGCGTGTTGAAGCTCCACTATACACAGTCAACCCCTGCACAACAGACCAAATTCATGAGACAAACTATAGTATGTTCTGTAAAAGGTCTGTTATCCAAATTCAATTATTAATAAATTTTTTAAAACATTTTACCATTTATTTTAAACCAGTAAAAGTCTTTTATGAGGATTTAGTCCATTGCATGGGCGAGAAAACAGCCTCGAAACGCAAAAATCTGTTCTGTGGGAGGCCTGTTGGGCAGGGATTGGCTGTAAATTTACACAGCTGGACTCTCATTACAAGAATCCTGCCTACACCCCTTTCATGTTTTAGAAAAGTACTTACTGGAAGCTTTAAAAGGAAGAGCATCAGAATGGAAAAAGACAGTCCTACTTTGCTGTCTTCTTGACATGCTGAAACCTTGAGAAACCTTTGCTAGAATTGAAGAAAGAAGTCTTGTGAATACTTGAAAGCGTGGAAAGTTGTAAAAGTTTTAGATTAATTTTTTAATCTACTATAATTATTTGTTGTTGTTGATGGATTCAACAGGAGGTTCGGTCAAAAGTGCACGGGTTGCCGGGTCGGCCTGAGTCCCACGGATTTCGTCCACCGAGTCCAGGGCAAGGTTTACCACGTGGAGTGCGTCACTTGCTCGAGCTGCTGCAAGATTTTGGCCACCGGTGACAGGTTGATTGTCCTGCCGCAATCTGCGGAAATTTGCACGGAAACTGAGCAGAGTCCCACGATTGGCATCAAGTTGGCGTGCAGTGACGATTGTGCCAGAAAAGTTGGCGGTTTCCGAAGCGAGAATAAGAGACCCATCGGATTTCACCAGAGGAGGACGAGGTCTAGACTAGGTGAGAATTATACATCACAATTATGAAACAAGAGCCTAAACCGAGTAGAAATAGAAAAGTAATAATAAAAAGAGCATGTCTACAAAATTGTCAGCTCTGAAGAGTAACTGTACAAACCCGGGGAATATAATAATCTGAGTCGACATTCACCAAGCTTCAATTATTTGGTTCAACAGGGAAACTTGAACTGTAACCACCTACAAAATTCAGAAGCTGAATTAGGCTCAGCTTGAAACAGTTTTGAAACACAAAAACAAAAAACTTTTGAACAATAATTACTGCAATATACAGTACTTGCAATACTTCCAAGCAGCTGAAAAAAACCCAGTTTTTAAATCGGTGCTGGCCCACATCTAATCGTAATGCACACCTAATGACCGCATATTTTGAATACTTTTGTTATTCTTTCACTGTGCCCAAAGACAAGCTAAAAACAAACGCGAAAATGTGTCCAAAAAGTATTCATTGCCTTTCTGAATTTTCAATTGTGGAAACTGATCTTATTTCAAGTTGAAAATGTATAAATCGTCTCGCGGATCAGAGGAATGAAGGAGAGTACAGTACTCAAATACTGTATAAGTGAAACATTTTTATTCAAGTGCACGCAAAAAAGATCCGAATTTCAAGAATTCTTCGACGGTTTTATGCAAATTTAATGCGTCCACATGAAATAATCATCCACACATTAACAGGAAGAGTTTTAAATTTTAAATTTTCCTCTAGAATGAAAAGTGGGATCATGAACTATATTTAGAAGGAAAGATTAAGTATGGAATTCAGTTGAGATACTCTTTGGTAACCTTTAGGTTCAATGAGAATCAGTGCTTGATTCCCTATTATTCAATGAGTTTGTAAGGTTTTGAAGCTGCGGCATGAGTGCGCCAAGATGAGACTGCCCACTAAACCTACAGAATGTTGAACAAAATCGACTAATGGATAAATGTTGAATGAATTGTTCTTTTTCATCGACGATTTATTTTCCTTTTGAATGAATTTTATTCCAAAGGAACTTGTTCTACTCTTTTTTACAAAACAAAATATGAAGATATCGCAATCGATGGTGACTTATACGCATAAAGGAGCATAAATGTGATAGTGAATTTTCTGTTTAGTACACTAGAAGTAACTAGAACCTTGCTATAACGAATGATCGCTTACAACAAAGTCGTTTTGTATTTTCCTGCTCTATATAAATATAAACATATTATCAGCACATGAGTTGATTTTCAACGAATTTCTGTTCAAAATGAAGTTTTATTACAGGTCCGAAAGACTTTGCTGCGAATGAAATTTTACTGTTTCGTATTTTAACATCTTTAAAACACTTCAAATACTGGTGGACTCTCTGATATTCAAAAAAAATGCGAAGGACCACAAAATTTTCATTGTATATCAAGAACTTGTGTACATGATTTGGAAAAAAGTGAGAATCATATTTATGCAATAAAAAAATGCTATGCACAGAAAATCATTGCAGACAAGATTGTTTTAATAGACAAAGAATCCACCTGACCTACGAAAGAGATTTTGATGATCTTTGTAGGTTTTGATTTTGAGTCCCTTTAAGATAATGCTCTGTCTGCTTTTCTTTATTCTGATTAGTAATATTCTGTATCTTCAAGTTGAGTAAGACATTTTATTTGATTTTTTCAGGATGTATTCCTAAATTTTGATAATAACTGGAGAAGCAATTAAATTATTTTCCCATGAAGTACACTGTACGGGAAAACAAGGTTCCAACTGTGGGATTTCTGACATAGGGACACTGTCCAATCAACAATTTTTTCTGCATCTTGGGGCCACACTCTATAAAGTCTATATGGTTGAATCCCAACATCACTCCTTTCTTGGATCCCCTATACTTATTTACTTGAGTACCACGTACACCTTTTTTCCCAAATTTTAGAAGACAAAAACGGGTTCACATCATAAGCAGGTACAAAATTTTCAAGAAGTTTTAGGAAGTTATGTGTGCATTATACTTGATTATNCAAGAAGTTTTAGGAAGTTATGTGTGCATTATACTTGATTATAATGGAGAAATTTGGAACAAATGTAACAAGAACATGTTTTTGAACTGAAAAGTTGAAAATTATCAGATTTTTCTTCAATTCATGCCTAAAGTTTATTTTTTTGTTTTTATTTGCAAAATTTTGTGGTTTTAGATTCACAATTGGGGTGAGCATCTTACTCAGGGATAAGCTTTTAGCAAAATATCCAACTGAAAAACCCCTGTGCACACCTTCTTGGAAGGGCGCATGGTACTTGACTAAATACCGTAGTTTGCTACAGAAAGTCAACTGTTCAATTGATGCAAGCAGGTGCCGCGGAAATACTGCCATCAATCTGGCCAAATCCTTCAATGCCAGGGATGAACAATAATTCAGTTCCACAAACTCCATTCGACACCATGATGCCATATCCGGATCAAGTACACGAACCGCGCTTGCAGTTACTCACGAACCAGACGACAGCGTCCGGCTTCCTGTTACCAGGAGAGACATCTACTCAATCTCTGTTGCGATTCCCGGACAACGATGATTGCGACGAAGGTGGAGGCTGCTCCTCGACCATTCGTCGCCGAGAGCCCCGAACGAAAATCAAAACGAAGCAGCTTGAGGTGCTCAAAGCTGCATTTGCCGCTACTCCGAAACCCAATCGTCACACCAGAGAGCAGTTGGCTAAGGACACAGGGCTGAACATGAGAGTCATTCAGGTATGCATTTTTTTCGGCTTAGGTAGAGTCAAACTTCGAGCTGTTATGAAATTTGCGTAGTTGATTCTCTCTTCCTTTTACATTCCATGAATGTAAAATATATAGGTTGAGTTTGATAACAAGTACGTTAAGATTGTACTGTATATTTATTTTTGGACCACTTGATGATATGAGAGATGATAAATGAGAGTCACTTATTGCAAGTTGTAACTACCGTAACACTGCTAAATAAACGAAGATGTGTTAACTTCGTTTGTGTGCCGATTGCGTACTTCATTGAGAAAACTGCGATATTCTATGAAGTAAAAGGAACTTAAATCAATGTTTGGATTATATAGCAAGTTGACATTACAAAAAAATGCATTTTAAAAATATGCTGAATCTGGGATCACTCAAACTCTTTCAAATTGGTGCAGTTTTTTATATGTATGCATACAGAATGTTTGTGCTGTGAACAGAAATTCATGAAATTATTTCTATTATTTCTTTCCATATGACGTGTCTTTTCACAAACCTTTCAATTATGTCAGAATAAAAAGAAGAGCATCTCGAACATACCTTGAAAATTGAGAGGAAACATTCAACGCCATTCAATACTGCTGAAACACGAAAAAATCTCTAGAAAATTGTGTCTCCTGAACTATTTTTTATTTCCACCTGTTCCTTCTGTTCTTCATATAAGTGCAGATACAGTCAGGCAAATCATCACAATGATTGTTTGATTCATCCTAGTGTGCCTAAACAAACATAACTTGTCCGAATCTTTTGAACTTTGAAAAGACCTCGGATTCTTACAACTTAATAAAATGGTACTCTTCAAAATTTTAAAGGAACATTGAACCGTGTTAGCCTCATTTGATTTCTTCTCAAAGATTTTTTCTTTAATTTCATAAATACAAATTATCTGGGAACTGGCTGAAAACCTTACTGTGTTTTCATTTGTGTTTGGTAATTGCCTTGTGCTGCAGTCATTGTATAGACAATATTATAGACAAAAAGGAGAAAAATGTATAATTCATGCATTTTTATGTATTGGGATGTAATTTTTTAGAATGCCCAGCGTGTTTGTAATTAATTATTCCTGATATGCTGGGATTTTCTGAATGAATGTGTGAAGTGGATGTAGGAAAATGGTGTGAACCTTGTGAATGCCGAGAATAAGGGACAGATAAAGCTTGGACAGTAAGACTCCAAAATGTGGATGCAATTGGTGCTTGAATCCCTTTATCAGAATGTCCACATGTTGGACCTCATTTTCCCTTGGACTGTAATGAAAAATGCTTCAATTGGTTCTCCAGCAGTTCATAAAAAATTCGGAATAAATCCCCAATATCAAATAAAATGGGTTTCTCAACTATAAGATACAGAATAGAGCTATTCAGAATGAAGAAAGCTATGCAGAATATAGGACCCTCTGGCATGCAAAAGACTCATAAAAACAAACAAAAGGTATATGTCTTGGTTATTCTGTGCACAGGTGATAGAGAATGCTGAAATAATAATCGAAAAATCAACCTGTTTTTTAATAAAATTTCAAGTAAATATATAAATATATTCATTTCAACTTCTGTGAGTGAAATTCCTCAATGTGTTCAATACATATTCAAATTTTGAGGGATTAACATTTTCCACTATCCTAGAAATGCTGAAAAAGTGTCTGTATTTTGAGGTACTGTCTGGATGTTGTTGGGGACAAAGGTCGCCACAACAAATTTTCAAAGAATTGAAGAAAAGTTTGAAGTCAAAAATGAAACACAGACTCAGCCTGGGACTGGGGCCAGGAATTCTCGGTAGAATTCCTTAAGTTAAGGTTTAAAATGTATTTCAGAAAGTCCCAATGAAAACAGACACAAACTATTCACAAGATAAATTTTGTAAGTTTTAAATTTGGATTCACAATCAACCTCTTGCAAAAACCTCCAAAACGCACTGCAACGCAGCAAAAAACAGACTGGTAGTGTGATAGGGTTAATTTTGATCTTTTATTGATTTTGGGATGTCTCCTTGATCCAGAATGTGGATCAAGTGCAAGGGTGGGCTCCAAGGCATCTGATTGGCTCGAAAAAGTTGAGTCAAAGACGTCTTGGCGCCAAGATTTTGATTTTTCAGAGGGGGTGAATCGTTGGAGTGAAAGTTTGTTGGTGGATGCTCTACTTTCCTCTTGAGCGGTTTTTTCCGCTCGATTTATTTTAATTTTAATTTTATTATTTCGAAGGATGCGCAGCGAGTCCCCAACAGATGTTGGGCCTAATTTAATTTTCAAGTGTTCCCAATTTGAATCATTTGCATGTTAGGGTGTCCCGCGTTTTGCGGTCTCACTTTACATCTATCAATGAATTAGTCATTAAGATTCTGCCATATCATCAGCAAACAATCAACAGATTCTCTGAAAACGTGAAGAATGCATAGAATATTAGCTATTGCAGCCTGTCATTATTGTATGCCAATTTTGTGCATATGTTTTGCAAGAATACACTCACCAACATGTTAATTCAATGAAAAACAATCATGAAGTTTTATACAACTCACACGAAAAACTCCGTTTGAAGGTGAAAAAAAAATCTCAATATGACCAAAACTCTATTGTCAGCGTCCAGAAAAATAATTATCTTCGGAATGCTGTGTTTTTGGGACTTCTGAAGTATTTGCGTCACGAAATCTCATGGGAAATGTTTTCTTCGTATAATGCACAAATAGCTCATNTTTGAACTTTGAAAAGACCTCGGATTCTTACAACTTAATAAAATGGTACTCTTCAAAATTTTAAAGGAACATTGAACCGTGTTAGCCTCATTTGATTTCTTCTCAAAGATTTTTTCTTTAATTTCATAAATACAAATTATCTGGGAACTGGCTGAAAACCTTACTGTGTTTTCATTTGTGTTTGGTAATTGCCTTGTGCTGCAGTCATTGTATAGACAATATTATAGACAAAAAGGAGAAAAATGTATAATTCATGCATTTTTATGTATTGGGATGTAATTTTTTAGAATGCCCAGCGTGTTTGTAATTAATTATTCCTGATATGCTGGGATTTTCTGAATGAATGTGTGAAGTGGATGTAGGAAAATGGTGTGAACCTTGTGAATGCCGAGAATAAGGGACAGATAAAGCTTGGACAGTAAGACTCCAAAATGTGGATGCAATTGGTGCTTGAATCCCTTTATCAGAATGTCCACATGTTGGACCTCATTTTCCCTTGGACTGTAATGAAAAATGCTTCAATTGGTTCTCCAGCAGTTCATAAAAAATTCGGAATAAATCCCCAATATCAAATAAAATGGGTTTCTCAACTATAAGATACAGAATAGAGCTATTCAGAATGAAGAAAGCTATGCAGAATATAGGACCCTCTGGCATGCAAAAGACTCATAAAAACAAACAAAAGGTATACGTCTTGGTTATTCTGTGCACAGGTGATAGAGAATGCTGAAATAATAATCACAAAATCAACCTGTTTTTGCATAAAATTTCAAGTATATATATAAATATATTCATTTCAACTTCTGTGAGTGAAATTCCTCAATGTGTTCAATACATATTCAAATTTTGAGGGATTAACATTTTCCACTTTCCTAGAAATGCTGAAAAAGTGTCTGTATTTTGAGGTACTGTCTGGATGTTGTTGGGGACAAAGGTCGCCACAACAAATTTTCAAAGAATTGAAGACAAGTTTGAAGTCAAAAATGAAACACAGACTCAGCCCGGGACTGGGGCCAGGAATTCTCAGTAGAATTCCTTAAGTTAAGGTTTAAAATGTATTTCAGAAAGTCCCAATGAAAACAGACACAAAAGATTCACAAGATAAATTTTGTAAGTTTTAAATTTGGATTGACAATCAACCTCTTGCAAAAACCTCCAAAACGCACTGCAACGCAGCAAAAAACAGACTGGTAGTGTGATAGGGTTAATTTCAATCTTTTATTGATTTTGGGATGTCTCCTTGATCCAGGATGTGGATCAAGGGCAAGGGTTGGCGCCAAGATTTTGAGTTTTCGGAGGGGGTGAATTGTTGGAATGAAAGTTTTTGGCGGATGCTCTACTTTCCTCTTGAGCAGTTTTTTTCCGCTCGATTTATTTTAATTTTAATTTTATTATTTCGAAGGATGCGCAGCGAGTCCCCAACAGATGTTGGGCCTAAATTAATTTTCAAGTGTTCCCAAGTTGAATCATTTGCATGTTAGGGTGTCCCGCATTTTGCGGTCTCACTTTACATCTATCAATCAATTAGTCACTAAGATTCTGCCATATCATCAGCAAACAATCAACAAATTCTCTGAAAACATGAAGAATGCATAGAATATTAGCTATTGCAGCCTGTCATTATTGTATGCCAATTTTGTGCGTATGTTTTGTAAGAATACACTCACCAACATGTTGATTCAATGAAAAACAATCATGAAGTTTTATACAACTCACACGAAAAACTCCGTTTGAAGGTGAAAAAAAAAATCTCAATATGACCGTTTGAGATAACAGTCGCAGGTCTTTTTATTAATAGAAGCCTTACGACACAAAAACCCTGAAGACTTCATAAACGCAGTGCTTTAGAGTACCCTTTACAAAAGAAGCATATTACGTGTTTATCGAGTAAAATTAGAGAATTTTCCATTACAGCACACAATCATTAATCTTTTTTCTTTCTTTCTTTTCATCAGGTCTGGTTCCAGAACCGCAGAAGCAAAGAAAGGCGAATGAAGCGCCTGAGTTCCTTGAACGTCGTGAAACGCCCCAGTGTTTACCGTCAACACAAGGAATTCTGGAAAACCGTGAAACCCGCTTTTCAAGCCATCTCCACTCTTCCATTATCGTCTCCAGAGCAATCAGAAAAACCCTTCGTGCCTGAAGAACCCGTCCCACAGAACATGTCCGCGGAACCCGCCATCATTTTGACCAATTACGACGACATTCATCCCTGGTCAGCATCAGGGCAGGAATTCTCTGAAGAAACCACCAGCAGTAAGAAAATATATTCTGAAAATGAATAAGTTAAGTGAAACTAATTTTCTTTTCTCGTTTTTGCTTTTTGTTTTTTGCACAGGAACCACTCAGTCAGAGTTTTTTGCCGAAAATCCCACTCGAGAATCGTGTTTTGAACAGCATCAGCAGCAGCAACCATTCCTGAAATACGAATTTCAAGATCAAAATGCCAAGTGACTTTCGCTTTTGTTTGTTGGACTGATTGTTTTTTTTTTTTTCTCGTGTGGAGCCAGCCAAATCTTACATTTATTATTCAGCACAGGATTTAAGAGCGCATTCACAGAGAATAAAAAAGCTGGGAAATTTTCCAATGAAAAAAAAAGAAACAGCACTGTGTCAATCAATCTGATCGACTTGACGGGAAAAAAAAATCTCAAGATTCTGTCAAATTCTCAATCGCAGCCAGCAGAGCGTGTGACGAACGGAGTTCTTCGGTCATCCGGAAAGCCGCATTTTCTGCGTGCAAAATTGCCTCCCAAAGTGAGCTGTTTCCGATTTCACAGGCATTAATCTGCTGACCGCCGGAGGTTTTTTGCGAAAATTCCGCGAAAGTCACTCTTTTCCTGATCGCCTCCGGGGATTGCATTTGAGTTTGAAGCGTGGTTTCCGGTGATTGAAAAGAATTATTTTCCTCCGGGGTCACTTGGGGAATTGTTTGCGTTGATTCGGTCTGAGCTAATTTCGTATCGCAATTATTCGCGGGGATTTGCACAGTATTTGATTTTCGATTCGCTCTTCGTCTCCTGAGTAGAGCCAGAGCCAGAACTGCTTTGGCTTGTGCCAATTTGTGTTTCTTGTGCCTCGCTGACTCTGCTGGGTCCGGTGGTTTGTGCGAAACTGTTTCTGTTTCTCCGTTCAAGGTTTCAACTTGGTTCGAAGCATTGATTTGGCTCGGAAATTCGACTTGAACTGCTTCGTTGATTTGAGACACGGTTTGCAAACCGACGTGGGAGACTGTGATTGTTGATTGGTCCCTCGTCGTCATCAGGGTTCGGCAAATTCTCTCGGGCATTGCTTTTTCAATCAAAGCAGGTTCCTTTTCGTCATTTCGAAAGGTATCCTCATCAGCTGATGATGAAGTCAGAGGAATCTTGAGGATTTTTGGCACTTGTAGAGGTTTACTAGACAACGATGATGAGGATTTGCGGAATTCTTGCACAATCCTGAGACCGGACTCCATCTTCTTGAGAATGTGATGAACGAGAAAGTCTTGGCCTTTTTTCACTTTGCTTCTTTTCCTTCGCCTTTCGAAATGCTGATAAGACCTACTCTCTGATGAATCTTGAATAACTTGCAGAAGTCTCAAGGGTTGCGGTGTTTGAACAGCAAAGGTTACCCGGTTTGATTCAGGTTGCTTGCAGGTTTCTGCCTTGTAGAAAAGAAATGGACGCAAAATATTGGTCAATGTTTCGAACAACTCATAATTTCTCACCTTAGGAAAATTAAAAAAGTACATATTCGAAGGAAAATCGTGTGCATGGGCATAGAACAAATTTAAATATTTGAGAAATTAAGTAGCAGATGAAATACAAAAACATAGACGGAAAACATTAACATTTTGCAAAATTCACCATCGCTTCATTTGATTTGTAATTTTAAAATATTTTGAAGCTCTGTCTTCGCAAAAGAATGATTGCAAATCTCGGAGAAAGACCATAAAAATACTTAAATTTATAGATGAAAAATACTGTATTCAAAAATATCTCTGAAAATTCACCGATTTTTCTTCTGATTTATGAATGATGGTAAATTTAAAAATATCACGAAGCAACATTTCTGGGTAGAACCACTGCAAATATTGATGAAACACGTAGAATAAATGCATAAAACAATTGATGGAGATCAGCGTCAATTTCTTCAAAATTTCGCCATTCATTACCCTGATTTATATCCAGCAGTAGATGGTAAATTTCAAAATACGTGGACACTCAATCTTCTTGATCATAGAAAAATCGGAAGTATCAGAAAAGTACATGAAATAATGCACGAAATATTCGTGAATTTATTATTTGCAATCCGAAATTTTGATTGATCAACCGAAAAAGATTCTATTCCAGAGAAAAGGGGACTATAGCATTATGTAATATAACTAATATTTCTCACTTCGGTTTTACTCTCTCGTCGTTTCTTTCGTCGCTCCGACAAAATCGCTCATTTGGTTAATAATTATAATCTTCAACGACTTTAATTTTTATTGGATATACTGAATATTTTTCTTTTGGGTCTCTTGAAAAAGAAATTTGAGTCAAAGATTCAAACCCACCTTGAATGTTGTTGTTGTTCTCAGCCCGCAAGTCTTTCGACTGGTTCTGCGTCCGCTGAAAAATTCGCTTGATCATTTTGGACAAAGAAGTCCCACTTTTTGCGTTTTGAACATCGTTCGAGACACTTTTCCCCGAAGAAACAATGACTGGCTGGTTTCCATTTTGGTCAAACTCGTCCGCTTTCATTTCCAGGGAACTGGAAGGAAGAGTGAAATCATTGAGAGTGTCATCAGGGTCTGAACCCGCAGCTTCGCTGAATTCCTGCAAACTCGACGCATCTCTGCAAACTAGACCCGACTCGGATTTCGGCTCATAATTGACAACAGAATCCGATCGTCCAGCTTTCAAGACAGCATTCTTTTCTCCGTTTCTTTCCAGGACTGTCTCGACTGACGATGATGAAATTGCAGAAGAACCTTTTTCTGCTGCTAGACCGTTTAATTTGGGATTAGATTCCTGACCCACGATTTTGTTTTCAATTCCAGGAGAATTTTGTGCTGAATCCTGCTCAATTTCAGTTCCTCTCTTCGATTGGCTCCCTTCGTCATTTTTGTTTGGAACTTCCATTTCAAGTCTCAATTCTTTTTCCTGGTCTAATTTTGAAAAGGATGTCTTTTTAAAAGGAGTAGAATCAAGGATTTTTTGAAGAGCATGCTTCCGTAAAAATTCAAATTTTTGTGACTCGTCACACGAAGAAAATTCCTCGGGTTTTCTTCGATGCGTTTTCCGAGATTCTTCCCGACGGGATGATTGAGGTATTTCAATTAGAAGTGGATTTTCAGGACTCAAAATTTGTTCTTGTTGCAGAGGCTCCAAAGATTTAGGTTCACGTTTCAAAATAGCGACAGGAACTGAAGGATTTTTGTTGGAAATTTTATTGGCCAACGAAAGTTTGGTTATCGGTTCCGAAAGCATCTCATCAACAGCAGGCTTATCCCGACACGATTTCGTCCGAAAGGATTTCACATGGGAAACCAGAGCTTTCACGAGAAGATTCTGCGGAAGGTCCAGTTTGATCCTGATGGAATCCGTCATCATCGTCGAGGTTTGAAATGGCACGAGACATTTGCAAAACGGAGCCGAGTCCCGAGCCCACCGATGCAACCACAAAATGAACCTGAGCTTCCCGGACGATATCCCGACCTCTCTCCAAGATTTGCAGCCTGAATCCAGCAGGACTTTGGGACATCTGATGGAAGATTGAATTCTGCGACGCAAATCCGTGCCAAAACAGGGCAATGCTGGCAACGGAGACCAACGTTTGACGCAATCTGCTCTCGGCGGTGTCACGAAGTCAAAAGCCGCGTCTGCGTCTCCCAGCCTTCTCACGTCACTCATCGCCATTTCCACGAAAAGGGATAAGAATCTAAGATAATCCGGATTAGGACTTCTTCTATTATTGCATCCGTTTTTAAGAGGGGATTCTGCGGGATTAACGATGACGTGTTCGGGGAGCCATTCGGGTCGTGACTTGCGAGTCAGGAGTCGGGAAACACTCGGGCAGGATGCGAGCAAAGTCAGGGTCAGGGTTGGGTTGCAACTCAGCCAGTCATTCAGGGCCAAGTTGAAAAGGGCCCTGGCATCGGTTTCCCACCAGGTTTTCAGAGCTGGGTTTGAGTCATTGAGAGAAGTGAGGTCCAGAGCTCTGAGGAATTGGGCTGAGGCTTCCAAGACTTCTGAAGTGGCTGAATGATCAGACTGTGGAAAATTGGAGAAAACATTTTAAAATTCTTTTCAGCGAGGAGTGTCTTTCAAGTATAGGGCACGCATTATATTGACTGATGTTCTCATTATGCCTGAGTATAATGACTGTATTTTCGAAATTGTGTGCCACAAGAAATTGAGAAAACATAAGAAAGTATGACCAGAATAGCGAAAGTCCAGAAAAAATCCCAAAATTATTTCTCATTCGGCAGAAAAATTTTCCTTAAAAAATCCTTCACTGTGGTAAGACAGTTTTCACATTCCTTCCATGGAATTAGTATTGAGGGATTTCTGACACAATGGGATTAGCTTCCCCAGATTCTTCCAGACTTTGGCTACTCAGCCAAAGCTGTGTTTCTGTGACCTTTGGCCAAACCAAAATGCACAAACATGTGAACATTTCCCTGCCCTGCCATGAAATGAAATTTTACCTGCCACTGTCCAAGGGTTAACCATCATCTGGTAAAGTTACCCTTTCCATCCCTTGGCAGAGCTGAAACAGTTCTTGAACATTGATACAATCCATGAATATTTTTGTCCAAAACTGCTTTCAGGTTTGACCAAAGCTCACCAAAATCCATTCTGGGTTGAGTAGCATCAGTTGAAAAAAAATTAGGTTATTGAGCATATTGCTCTTAGATTCCTTCAATGTAAATTACATTGGAGAAATTGAGAAAAATTCCAGCTTGTAGGAAATCATCTAGAAATAAATTCTCCAAGAGGAACAAGAAATCTAAAAAATTTATGAATGAGGCTGTGCAACCCAGTTTATTTTTTATTTTTACTTATTTTTAAGTACACAATATTCATCAAGAATATTCTGACCCACTGCAGCATGGTCATGTATGACATTTTCTGTGATTCTTTCATACAACTTTTTGCCAAAAACTATTTGAATAAGAGCTGCAACCCAGTAAATGCGGGCTGAATATAAAATTTTTCAACTGATAATTCAGAAACGTTAATCTTGTAATTTAAAAAACTAATATACGTAAGTATGACAGGATTGTTGCCAAACAGAATTTCTTATTAGTCCCCCCCCCCCCTACTGTATCTTTCATATGGCTAGCAAGTCAGCATGCTGGTTTCATATTTTAAATAGTACATGGATACCACATGCACTGAAATTGCCTGCCTTATTTAATTAAAATTTTTGACTTTTGAGTACGCACTTTTGAGTAAACACAGTGATGCATAAAATGAAAAATC